GCATTCACTTATCAGAGAACATTCGGGCTTTGGTTTTTTAGGATTGACTTATTTCACTTAGCATGATATTCTATTTTGTTAAATTTTAACTGTTCTTTTTTAGCCCTTTTTGTAACCACTTAAGGTGGCACTTAACATCATTGATTTTAGAGCCTTTTTTCTGATGAGAGCATTTTAAAGCTGTAAATTTTCCTCTCAAACACTTCTTTAATTGCATCCCACACAGTTTGACCTTTTTCTTTTTCATTTTCATTCAATTAAAAAGATTTTTGGATTTCTCTCAATTTTTTTTCTTTCATCTGTGGTTTACTTAAATGTACATCATCTTAATTTTCAATAGCTGTCCAGGTGATAATTCGATCTATAACATTAAAAACTAACAAAAATCCAGAATGTTGTATGGTAGTATATACCTGTAATCCTAAAACCACAAATTCGAGGCTAGTCTCAGCAATTTAGTGAGACCCTCAGCAACTTCATAAGACCCTGTCTCAAGATTACAAAACTGAAAAGGACTCAGGGGGGTAGCTTAGTGATAAAGCACCCCTGGGTTCAATCCCCAGTACCAAAAAGAAAAAAAAAATCCAGCAGGTTATAATAATAATACAATTCCTTGAATGTTTTATGCCGATTTCTCATTCCCAATTCACAAATCTGAAATGCTGTGAAATCCCAAACCATTTGAATGTTATGTTGGCACTCAAAAAGTTTCAGATCTCCACTGGGCATGTGGTATATGTCTTGTAATCCCAGCTACTGTTGAGTCGGAGGTAGGAGGATCATAAATTCCAGGCCTTCTGGGCAATTTATTGAGATCCTGTCTCAAAATAAAAAAGGGTTGGAGATGTAGCTCAGTKGTAGAGTACTTGCCTAGCATGTGTGAGGCTCTGCATTTAATCTCTAGTATCTTACAAAAACAAAACTGTTTCAGATCTTGGAGCATTACAGATAGCAAAATTTTTGATTAGGAATGCTCAGCTGGTAAACTCTATGCAAAAATCCCAAAATTCTAAAAACTCTGAAACTTGAAATGCTTCTGGACCAAAGTGGGTAAGATTGTTTTTTTTTTTTTTTTTGGTGTGTGTGTGTGTGTGTGTGTGTGTGTGTGTCTGTCTTCTAAGAACAATTCATTGTCTTCCACTGTTCTTTGAATTGACCCAGCTCACTTGGGCAGTTTCTTCCCGGGCTCCCTCTGCAGCTTGACTAGGCTGGATGATCACCAGAGCCAGCCTCTTGCTCTGCTGGCATGGCCAGGACAGCTGGGTGTGGGCTGGCCACTTCTCTCCACACAGCTTCTCTGTGGAATAGTTGGCTTTTACACAACATGGGGGTCTTAAAGTTAGTCTCATTTTGCATATAAGTTGTTTTTACATAGGTAATTTATCTGATCTACTTTTTCAAAATAAGTAAGGTAAAATTCATTGGGGTAAAAAGATCTCCTGTAAGTTTATTTTTATAAATTGAGGTGATATTAACATAAGACAAGCATGTTAGTGTTTTCATTTGCTGGCATTTAATACATTGTCAGATTTATGCAAACCACCATATTAATCAAAAAGTGTCAAAACAGTTTTATACATATTACTTATATTTACCTCTCCCCGCCACCCCCCACCCCTGGCAATCACCAGTCTGTCTCTTTGGATATATCTTTTCTAGATCTTTCATGTAAATGAGTTGTACAATGTGTAGCTGTTTGTTGCTGGCTTCTTTCACTTAGCATTTAGAGGTTCATCCAGACTGTGACATATATCAGTACCTTAATTCCTTTCTCCTSTTCTGTCTGAATAATATTCCATTGTAGATACATACCCTATTTTATTTATCCATTCACTTGTTGGTGGCTGTTTGGGTTGTTTCCCCTTTTGGCCATTATGAGTTGTGCTGCTATGAATCATTCATGTTCAAGTGTTTAGTACTGATTTTCAGTCCTAAGTATGTCTGGAGTGGAATCGCTAGGTCTTATGTAATTTTATGTTTAACCTTTGAAGAACTGTCAAGCTGTTTCACACAGCTGTTGTACCATTTTACATTTATACCAGTAATGGAGAGTTTCAATTTCTCCATGTCCTTGCCAACATGCTATTTTCCTGTCTTAATTATAGCCATTCTAGTGGGTATGAAGTGGTATCTCATTGTGGTTTTGGTTAGCATTTCCCTAATAGCTAATTAAATTGTGCATCTTTTTGTGTTATGATTGGCCATTTTTATTTCTTCTTTGGAGAAATATCTCAAGTCTTTGTCCATTTTTAAATTAGTTTTTTTTGTTATTGAGTTATAAGAATTATTTATATAGTTTGAATGCTAGATCCTTATTAGACATATAATTTGAAGATAGTTACTCCCTATAGATTTTCTCTTCAAAATATATATATAATATTATATATATATATATATATAATATATAATATGAATGAAAAAACCCCCCCATCTGGGATTGAACCCAGAAGCACTTAATCACTGAGCCACATCCCCAGACCTTTTTATATTTTATTTTGAGACAGGATCTCACTAAGTTGCTTAGGGCTCTATAAGTTGCTGAGGCTGGCTTTGAATTTATGATCCTCCTGCCGCCTAGGATTACAGGTGTCCACCACACCCAGCTATTGATATCCTTTGATGCACAAAAATTTTAATTGATGAAGTCCAGTTTATCTTATTTTTTCTTTTGTTGTTCATACTCTTAGGGTTTGTCTAAGAACTCATTGCCACATCCAAGATTAAAAAGATTTACCCTTTTATTTACCCCTTTATTTTAGATTGTTAATGCATTTTGTGTTAGTTTTGGTGTGGAATGAGGTAGGGATCCAGCTTCTTTCTTATACCTGTGGATGTTCAGTTACATCAGCACTATTGGTTGAAAGGCTGTTCATTCTCCTTGAATGGTGCTAGCATCTGTGCTGAAAATCATTCAGCAATAGTATCTGGGTTATTTCTGGCCTCTTGGTTTTATATCATTGGTCTATGCCTGTGCTCATGGCAGTACCACAAAGTTGATAGTTTTTAGTGTAGTGTATGTTTAGTATAGAGTATTAATTTTTAAAGCTTTGATTAGATTTTAGATTTGGAAAACTTGAGTAAAGAGATTATTTCTTTGTAAGTGCTAGATTTATAACACACTTTTTTTCTCTACTTTTTTTTCGTGCATTATTGTACATATTGGTTGTTTTTATGTATTTATTCATGCACACAGTCAGTATAATTTGRCCAGTGTCATTTCCTGATGTTTCCCCTTTTCTTTCCCTCCTCCTTCCCTAGGGTTCCTTTCCTCTACTCTGCTGATCTCCCTTTGATTTTTCATGAGATCCCTTCCCCTACATCTTTTTTTTTCTTTTTCCTCTCTGCGGACTCCCTCCCCCCCTGGGGCTTACTTAGCTCATATGTTACAAGAGAAACATATGACCCTTGACCTTCTGAGTTTGACTTATTTCACTCACCATAATGTTTTCACATCCCATCTATTTTCCTGAAATGACATAATTTCATTTGTGTGTGTGTCTGTGTGGTGCTGGGGATTGAACCCAGGGACATGTACATGTGAGGCAAGCGCTCTACTATATCCCCAGCCCTCCTTTTTTTTTTTTTTTTTTTTAATGGCTGAATAAAACTTTATTAGCTGGGGTGTAGCTATTGTGGGTAAAGCATGCTAGCCCAGCATGTATAAGGCCCTGGGTTTGGTCCCCAGCACCACCAAAAAGAAAAAAACAAAAACCTTCCATTGATAACACACATTTAATGGACAACTTTATTTGAAACTTTTTGATGTGTTTCACCATTTCTCTACATATAAAATAATGATATATCAGACTGCATTGTTATTGAATCTTCTGTTGTCTTACAAATTTAAATAGTCTAGTTAATTTACCTTGAGCCTTTAAATGAAGAACTAATTATACAAATTCAGTCTGCCAAAAGGTATAGTGTTGCTGGCTCTGCCAGTATAGGAACAGCTATCTGCAGAGTGGACTAAGCTTCATGTCAGGAAGATCATACATCTATAGTTTTTAGATCAAAAATGGTTGGAAACATCACTGTTTACCCAGATCCTGGTTTACAACAAAAGTTTCAATACTTTAGAACCAGAATATGTTATACTTCTTAAGTTTCTTTTAACCAGTACCTCCTCTTTTTCTCTCTCCCCCTTTTTTTTTTYYCCCCTGTGGTAATTTATTTGCTTAAGAAACTGGGTAGTCTGTCTTTTAGTTTCCCAGCCTGGCTTTGGATTGGATCTCAGTGTTGCTGATTGGATCCCTGTGGTGCAATTTAATATGTTCCTGTGTGTTCTGAATTTCTGTCTTTGGTAGTGGGATATAAAGGGACCGAGTAATTCAGATTTAGATAAAACATTTTTTGTTGTTATTACATGTTCACTTCATAGAGTTTTAGAGAGATAGGGTAGTGTAGAGTTTAAGAAAGGAGCTCTGGAGTCCAGGAATCTGGGTTTGAGTTTTGATTCTTTTCCTACTAGTTCTGTAATCCAGGGCAGTTACTTACTGTCAGTGTTGACGTCTTTATTTGTGAAATGGATTGGTGATGCCTATGCTTAGGGTTGTTATGAAGATTAAGATAATGCATAGAAAGGAACATTGCACAGAACCTATAATAGAGTAAGTGGTCTATAAACATTAGCTATTATTACTGTTGTCTTACAAATTTAAATATTCTAAAACAATCCAAAAGGTAGATTTTCTTGCTAGGAAATTAAAATTTGGAAAGCTAATTTTTGACTCACTTGAGTTTATTTTAGGGTAAAAGTAAGTAACTTATTCAGCTAAGGGGTACACAGCTCTTCTTTGTCCCTATCAATGTGAACATAAATTTATTTTCTAAAGTGATGTATTTTCATGCTTTASATGTTGGCATAAATTCTTATTAACTAGTTTCGCCTAACATTGAGAAGAGTAAACGACTGCATCATAGCACAGATTTAATCTTGCTTCCTATTGCAAAATTCTTTTCTTTTTTCTAGGGAGCTTACTGTTAATGTTTTTATTTTACAGGGTAATGTTCAAGCCCAGAAATGCCTTATGTGGATCGTCAGAATCGAATCTGTGGTTTTCTAGACATTGAAGAAAATGAAAACAGTGGGAAATTTCTTCGAAGGTACTTCATACTGGATACCAGAGAAGATAGTTTTGTATGGTACATGGATAATCCACAGGTTTGTAAAATCCAAAGATTACCTTTAAAAAGCATAGTAAAGTTCATTTATTACATGATTTGACATGCTCTATAGGCTTTAGGATTTGTCTTTTTCGGTAATATTATGTTTATTATTACACTCTCTGTCTTATCTGTACCCATGACCCTTATTGTCTTGTTTGAGTTTCAGAAGGTAAAACTACATCATTTGATAAAAATTGTGTGTGTGTGTGTTTGTATGTGTATATCCTTCTTGGGAGAGAAGTGTTACCTCCAGTGGAATTTTTTTTTTAATCTTGCTATTTATTTAAAAAGTTAAAGTTACATATTCTAGTTTAATAGTTACTTTCCTGGAAATTTCTGTCCTTTAAGCATATGTGTAATTTAAAATTTAAATCAGCAATATTTATCAATCTTTTAAAAACAAATTTTTGTAGTTGTAGATGGACAGAATGTCTTTATTTATTTGTTGGTTTTTATGTGCTGCCTCACGCATGCTAGGCAAGCACTCTGCCACTGAGCTATAGCCCCAGCCCTTTATCAATCTTAATACATCAAAATGATATATGTTCCAGAAACTTGGAAGGCTAAGCAGGAGGATTGCAAATTCAAAGCCAGCCTCTGTAACTTAATGAGGCCCTAAGCAACTTAGCGAGATCCTATCCTAAAATAAAAAATAAAATGGACTGGGGATGTGACTCAGTGATTAAGTGCCCCCTGAGTTCAATCCTGGGACCAGAAAGAAGAAAAACAACAACAACAACAAAACAATAATCCCTGTTACCAAAAATACAGGTATAATAATAAATATGTACAGAGTTTTAAATTTAGGTTTGTATACATTCAAATAATTTAATATAAAATTCTGTGAACCAAAATTACTGCATAATTGTGACCTAAAAGAGGACTCAGTCTATCTGTGGCACTGAGTAGGAACCACATCTGGGTTTAGTCTTCTGCAAATATGTTTTCAGCTTGTATACCTACCTTGTTTATGTTCAAATCTTAACTACCACAAATGCTTTTCCACCTATCTAAAATCTTATTCCTTTGAAAAAATAGTATGTATAGATGAGTTATAAAACCCTTTTTAACTCTGAATGTTAAAAGGGATATACATAGTTCTGGTAGAAAATTTTTAACTCATTTGGTTGAGATGTTGTATGTAGGATAGGGATGATGATGATGATGATGATAATGATGATGATAATTATTATTATTATTATTTTAATGTGGTGCTGAGGATTGAACCCAGTGCCTCACACATGCTAGGCAAGCACTCTAACACTGAGCCCCAGCCTCAGCCCAAACTATTACTTCTTTTTTTTTTTTTTAGTTGCTCATGACAATACAATGATCATGACATATCGTACATTTGATTCAAATGGGGTATGGAGGATATACAATCAATCAACAATTACATGAAAAAATGCTCACCATCTCTAGCTATCAGAGAAATGCAAATTAAAACCACTCTAAGATATCATCTCACTCCAGTAAGAATGGCAGCCATTATGAAGTCAAACAATACAAGTGCTGGCGAGGATGTGGGGAAATAGGTACACTTGTACATTGCTGGTGGGACTGCAAATTGGTTCAGCCAATTTGGAAAGCAGAATGGAGATTCCTTGGAAAGCTGGGAATGAACCACCATTTGACCCAGCTATTCCCCTTCTCGGACTATATCCAAAAGACCTAAAAAGAGCATACTATAGAGATACAGCTACATCAATGTTCATAGCATCACAATTCACAATAACTAGACTGTGGAACCAACCTAGATGCCCTTCAATAGATGAATGGATAAAAAAAAAATGTGGCATTTATATACAATGGAATATTACTCAGCACTAAAAAAAAAACAAAATCATATATAGTTCTTTTATAGTGTAAGACTTGACTGTCAGTTATTGTAATGCCATATGTGAACTGAAATATATTTAAATTTTATTGTTGCTTTGCAAGTCATAGGGATAAAGATCACAAATTAAAAATTAGGATCCCAGTTTCAAGATATGTGAGAGACTTAAAAATAGAAATCATCTGTGAGTAATTTAAAAATTTTTTTGTGGGACTCTATTTCAAATAAAACTTGATACAAAAGTTAAAAACAGAAATGTATGCTACAAGAAAATATATGCAAAGCAGGAGTGAATCCCTAGCAAATGTCTTGCCCAGTGGGTTTTAGATATTTGAAACACACATTACTAAAAAGTAATTATATTTGAGACAGTGTTTATTATTTTTTTCTGTGAGTCAAAATCTAGTTTATTGCATCATCTAACCATTAATCTCACTTTTGCCCTCCAGTTTTATGTTATCTAAGTTTTAAGTCTTTATTTATAGGCAGCCTTTTACTTTTAATTCACTTGATATTTTTTGAGTAGTGACTTTGTATTAGACATATTTTGCTGGGAACTGTTTGCTACTACTATCTTTGCAGAGCTTATTGACACCCTGTTTTATTGCCTTACCTCTGGGTGTAACCACCTTTCTTGGGAGTTAGCCACCTGATGTGTATTACCTTATTTACCTAGCTAGAGTCAGTGGGAGGAACAATAGGTCAGCAAAAATCAAAAGTTCATCTTTGCTTTTTTTAAAAAAAAAAGTGTAGATCAGATTCCTCCCTTTTAGGACCGCAATTCTTTATCTGGGGCATGGTCCCCTCATAAACTTCTTTTCCCCAGGTAGAAACTGAGAACTCCTTGACTCCCTATAATTGCTGCTTGCCAGATTTCAGCTCCTGGTTCTTCTCCAGAGCCATCACATAGTTTATTTAGCCTGTGTTCTCTCCCCGAAAGACCTCTCTCTTTGCAAGGTCTGTGCAACTTATATGTGGTAACATCAAGATTAACCTAGAGGGGCTGGGGATGTGGCTCAGGCGGTGGCGTGCTCGCCTGGCATGCGTGCGGCCCGGGTTCGATCCTCAGCACCACATACCAACAAAGATGTTGTGTCCGCCGAGAACTAAAAATAAATAAATATTAAAAAAAAAAAAAAAAAGATTAACCTAGAATGTTGGATATGATTTTGGTCAAGAGGTGATAACAAGTAGTTTATTCCAGGGCTCAGAGTGCTGTGGACAAAGTAGTCAAGGCAAGAGGACCCATGGCACATTTGGACAATAGTTTATCTCTTTGGCAGTGGGGGGTATCTATTGAGGGATTCAGCAGGGTCTTTGTCACATGAATTTTTGGGAATGAGGGTGTTACTGGGGACTGAGCCCAGGGCCTTGTGCATGCTAACCACAGGTTCTACCTCTGTGCTACATACCCAGGCTCTCACGTCAACTTTTTTGTTTCTCTTGTAATTAGTTCAGTGATTTTTCTGGCTATTTGCAGAATTTAATTTTTTTAAAATTCTTATTAATTTTTTGTCTTCTTTCCAGCTTATGAGAATCCTTAAAATCTTGACCTGCTATTAATAACATTTTGTGTCACCTAAATGTAATGATTAAGACATAATTTTTTGCATGACCAATGTGATTCTGCAACCTGTACACTCAGAAAAATGAGAAATTATACCCCATCTGATTCAAATGTATGATATGTCAAGGTCATTGAACTGTCATGTGTAACTAATTTAAAAAAAAAAGACATAATTTTTTTATGGAAACTTTAGCAAAACATCTTGTTAAGATTATTACATTAGTTAAATCTTATTAAATTCCAGTTTTTAGTCATTTTGAATTACTGAAAAATGTCAATTTCAAATGATTCAGTCTCGGGGCTGGAGATGTGGCTCAGCGGTAGCGCGCTCGCCTGGCATGCSTGCGGCCCAGGTTCGATCCTCAGCACCACATACAAACAAAGATGTTGTGTCTGCCGATAACTAAAAAATAAAATATTAAAATTAAAAAAAAAAAAACAAAAAAACAAATGATTCAGTCTCATTGTTTTTGTGGAAGTGCAAGACGTGGTTATACTGATTGTAATAACTCTGGTAAAGAAAATCTGTTGGATGCAACTGTCTTTAGAGAGCCAATTCCTCTCTTAAGTGCTCCCACTAATCATTGGTTTAAAAAAATCAATGCTAATGTATTACTAGGTATCAGTTGGGGGCTTTCTGTGTTCTGTTGTGGATGTTGATAATAGTGGAGAATTAAATAATGAAGTAACTGTGCTAGGAAGTGAATTTGAAGAAACTTTAAAAAGTATTTGGCAAAATGAGTTTAGGAGCTCGTAACTAACAAATGGCTTGTCTTCCTTTGTATCTTAGATGTCTTATTAGTTTATTATTTCTTTTTCATTGTCAAGTAACACATTTTGAAACCTGTTTTTTTTTCCTATTTGAACTTTACAACAGTCCTTCTAGTCCACAGATGTATTTTTAAATATTCCACTGATATTTCCCTCTACTGTGCTACTGTTTCTTCAGTGATCCTACGTTTCATACTTTGATTTCTCACTTTCTTACCCAAAGGCTTAGAGCTCTGTCCAGTGAGTTAAAACAATAGACTTATGGAAGATTTAAAACAAAAAAAGTTATTTTGAATTAAAGGGTAACTGTTTAAAAAAATTCACTTTAATATGAGTGATTCTTGAAGACATACATTTCCTTATCCAAAATTTTTTTTAAAAAACAACCTAAGCATAAAATATTAGAATACGACTAAATTTTTAAAAACTTAACATTAAAAACTATAATTTTGTTTTATATACATATTTATTGATTTATATTTGAAAGTTTGGACATCATATACAGTTCAAAGCAGAACATAATGCAGTTTTACTCTACATAGTAGAGTAAATATTTTGAAAAGACTGTGCCTATCAACAATAACCAGCTCAAGTTTGGGAACCTTAACACTGAAATGTCTAAGCTTCCAATAAGCTTATCTGATGAAGGTACTTCCTAACTATTCATTGGAATAAGCTGTAGATTTGTTTTTTAATTATTTTTTAGTTGTAGTTGGACACACTACCTTTATTTTATTGTATTTATTTATTTTTATGTGGTGCTGAGGATTGAACTCAGGGCCTCGCACATGTGAGGTTCGAGCGCTCTACCACTGAGCCAAAACCCAGCCCCTTTAGATTTTTTTCTTAATGTGCATTATTATAAAGTCAGGAGAAAAGTTGATCCTGTTTCATTTTTAGCAGAGATGGTTTTCAAAGTTAAGATTTAGTTTTACTTTTAAAATCTTATATCATTCTTTTCATTTGTATTCTTCATTACTTTTCCCCAGGTTCGTTTTTTTTAGTTTTGCTACCTCCATCTTCCTCTTTTATAAACTACCTAGTTATTATATTTCACGGTGCATTGATTAAAGCATAATTTTGATTATGTATCTGCTCACCAGCCTTCTTCATTGGTTTCAACACTATAAATTCATTTATTCTCATTTGTCTCAACATTCCCTACGTATGATTTAGGGAGAATCAATATTTTGAAAAAAAGTCATCCATATAGTTTAAATGTGGTATGACAAACACTAAGCCATTTAAATGAGAGAAAAATCCAGCATTTTTTTTTCAAGAGATACATTTGGATAAAGAAGTTTTAATAAAACAGTAATATGTGTAGTTTTCTAAAATTTCTTACAGTTTTATTTGTTTATGTTTTCAATGTCTTATCCTTTTTTGTGCTTTTTAAGCTAATGAAAAAGAACTTTAGTTTGACTACAATGATAAAAACAGACTTTCAGTTATAGACTACATTCAAATGGAACAGAGTAGTTGCCACTTTATTATCCAAGTTTCTATCTTAGTATCAAACCTTGTGATACATACCAGAGAAAAGCTGATTTCTAAAATGTGATCTTAACAACTCTTAATTTCTTACCTTTAGAATATATGAAACATTATTATAAATAAATGTATAATGTTGGCTATTAATTATATATTAATAATTTGTTTCTAGAACCTTCCTTCTGGATCATCACGTGTCGGAGCCATTAAACTTACCTATATTTCAAAGGTAATCTTTATACTTTGTTTTACTTTCATGTGTGAACTAAAATTCCTCCTAGTGCAAGTGTGAACAAAAGCAGCAGTTTCTATTTCATTTAAAGGGTATATCACGCTGAAAACAGTACCTGATTACTACAGGTAGGAAGATCCTTAAATTGACAAAATTGGGAAGAAAATAAATTCAATCTTCAGGATGTGATGAATTGTAGAAGTTAATACTAATGTTTGTGGTCAGATACTTGAACATCAGAATGAGAAAAATCAGTTAACTATTTTGAGAAGATCTGGAGAAGAGTTTTCTAAATGTGTGGTTGTTTTTTGTTGTTATTTTGTTTTCTTGTAGTGCTAGGGAGCTCAAGGGTGCTCTATCATATCCAGAGCCTTTTTAAAATTTTATTTTGAGGCAGGGCCTCGCTACGTTGCTGAATCTGGCCTGGRACTTGAGATCTTCCTGCCTCAATAGCCACCGTATCTAGCTCCTTTGTCTTTTTAATTTTGTTTTAATCATTACTTTATTGCAAGATGATGGAATTAATTTTAAATTTAAATTGTAACTTGGTAATCTTTCACCAGGCAATATGTTTTAATAAAAGCAAACCACTTTTTAAAAAGCAATCAAAGAACAACTCAAAATGCAGAATAATGATGAGAAATATTTGGCCAACAGATTTAGCTGTCTCACTAAAAGAAACTTGAACTTTTCTGTGTTAGGAAAGGTAAACTGTAATTTCAGTAGATAGCAGTAGAGAAAGATTTTGTCATGTAGAATAGTTTTCATTTACCCAGTCAGTTGTGTATAGCTGTCTCAACTGAGACAGATACATTTACATAACCGGCTTTGCTTGAGCCTTCTTTCAAGCAGCTGGAGATCTGTAATGCACTTGGCAGTCGCTTCATTTTCCCGCTGTGCAGAGATGCTCTGTACACAAGCTTCTCCACCCAGTTTATCATGTGTTCCTGTTCCTTTCGATGCATCATATTCTGCACAGAGATATGATAATCCAGGCAATTCTTTACCTCTCTCCAAGGCCATAGCAATGTTATTCCCCTGGACATCAAAAAGATAGTGATGCTTCTGAACCAGTGCCTGCTTTGACTTCTCCAACTCAATTGGAAAATTCTCCTGGATATGTTTGATGGAAGCCTTCTTCACCTCTTCTAGTTGGGCAATTTTTTGCTCATTATCAATAAATATTCCAGTAGAGGCACCATATTTTTTAATTACATAGACGAGTAACCCCACTATTGATATGGGAGAGAAGGTCTCTGGGGTAATAATCACATCTATTTCTCTGGATATAAAATAGAAGATAAGCCCAGTTCCAAGCATGGAGGGTCCTGTTACTCCAGTTTTAGGATAAAGAAACTAGAAGAATTCCTCAGGGATCAGCCCAAGACGAACTTTTCCTCCATATCCAGGAAGAGGTGGTAGAGGGGCAAGATGTGACTGCCTGGTATGAAAGATCCTCATTGCCTGCAGTATCCCGGTCCTAGGAAGGTTGCATTTCTGAGACAGGGCCGCTTTGGCGGCAGCAAAAAGTACCACCAGGAGACCATGGTCAGCAAATATCCAGGTAGCAGGCTTAGTGTCCCTGTGATTCCGACCAGAGACCGTAGGGGCCCCAAGGGCTCCTTTGTTTTTGATATTATGTTTATGTTTTATTTTGAGGAAAATGTGGACTATCTTCACGTTGAAAGGATGATTTTTTTTTCCTTCTTTTTACTTTGTTTCTGCTAGTTTCTGTTTTCTTTTTTATTTGTTTTTCTGGTGCTCTTATAGTACTATTTTTCTATTATTYTCAAAAATTGAGATTTTATATTGATCAGATAGCTGTTTTCCTTTTCTTTAATTAGTGTTTTAGAAAGAGACATGGAGGTACTAGTCGTGTGATTGTTTTGTTTTACACAAAAGTCATAAGAAGTTTGTTGGTAAAGTATGAGATGGGAAAGGTATCACACAGTGCTGTTAAATAATGTACACTGATACACATACTGTGATTATTGGCAAAGATGGATCATTTCAATAGAATATTGATTATAGATGGGCCTCTGTTCAGAAGACAGATACTTTTTTAAATAAAAGACTTCATCAGTATTACAATAAAGCTATTCATTCTCATTGAAAAAACATATTTTTCTTAAAAAATATTTTTTAATTGTAAATGGATCTTTTATTCTATTTATTTATTCATTTGTATGCGGTGCTGAGGATCAGACCCAGGGCCTCACACATGCCAGACAAGTGCTCTACCACTGAGCCACAACTCCAGCCCGACAAAACATATTTATTAGCCCTCAGACAACAAAGAGGTTGAGGCAGAAGGATCACAAGTTCAAAGCCAGCCTCAGCAAAAATGAGGTGCTGAGCAACTCAATGAGACCCTGTGTTTAAATAACATACAAAATAGAGGGATGTGGCTCAGTGGTTGAGTGCCCCTGAGTTCAATCCCTGGTACTAAAATAATAATATTAATAACAACAACAACAGTAACAACAACCTCTTCTCTGTGCAGTTCTGACTTTCTGTCTGTCCTACAGCTTACTGAAGTTTGAGATTTATAGTTTGTACTCTAGTTTAGACATTTCAACTTATTTACCCAGAATTTATTCCCGGAACAAAGTTCAGTGTGACGCAGCTGTGAATTTGTAGTTGGGATCAAAATTCCTTTTGAAGGTACAAAATAGATGCCACAATTATGAGTTCTTCCTCTCGGCAGCAGCATAGCGATAGTCATGTATGGGATTCTGAGAGCTTCTTATTTGGGGATAGCAGCAACCAGGGGTAGCTAGTTGCTTCACTTTCTAAAAGGAACCTTGTGCTACATTTAAGTAAGTAGCCCCATTACCCTCTATTCTCCTGTAAAAGTGGGGATTAAGTACCTTGTTAATTTCTCATAGCATATTAATGCCTTCTGGATTTGGGGACCTCAAATACACAGTCTTCCCCTTGCCCACCCCCATTTCACTTAGAGTTCACAGCTGATTTTGAAACATGACATTTGAGAACAATTCAGAGCTTATAGATTATTCATTGAGGGAGTTTTAAAGATGATGTTAAATGAAAAATATTTATGTGTGTGACAAAGCCTACTGGTTTACTTTCAACTTCTTCATATTTCCTTCAGAGAAAAAAACAAGGTTTTTCAAAGAAAAAATGCAAGTACCATTTGTTTAAACATTACATGTGAAACTCAGATTCTATACTTAATTTGCTGCTGTTTTTCAGTTGCCTTTGAAGTTTAATTTCAGATTTATATGATAAGTGTTCATCATTGTTGGGAAAGTATACATGTGAGAGTTTATATGATATTTGAGTTTGGTTAGAGTAGTGTTGAAGAATTGAATAACGCATCTCTCTTTTTCTTGTTAGGTTAGCGATGCAACTAAGCTAAGGCCAAAGGCTGAGTTCTGTTTTGGTAAGTAGCCATATTTTCTGTTAGTTACTTTAAATTAGATTGATATAATTAATTCCATCAGAGTAAAAGAAAACAGTCACAGAAAACACAGAGAGTAAACCTGTGGCTTAAAGAGTTATTTTAAGACAAATTTCTTTGCAATCACCATCCAGGTAAGTCAATAAAACTTTGTCCCAATCCCCAAACCCAAAGCTTCTTTCTGTGCCCTATCCTAGTCACAGCCTCCTCCCTGCACCCATGTGTTACTGTTATCTTGACGTTTATAATTTTYACCTTCAGTGAGATTTTAGGTAATTTTTAACTTTATACCTAGTATTATTTTATATTATTAAACACGTAAATAATGAAAAAGATTTGGTCTTGAGTTTGTCAKTCAGGAGAAATTTATAGTTTGGAGGCAGGAGTAGTTGAGGTTATTAGATTGCCTTGTTGAGCAGATATTTGGTGACTACCTGGTTTGTGGCAGACACTGTGCTTACATTGGGATGATGAGGTGAACAGGAGCAGTTGCTGCCTCTAAGGCTCTCAGAGGCTGGTTGTCTCACATACAGACACAATGTTAGGTTATTATCATTACATTTATCAAAATACATAAAGTGGGGTATAGTCTATTAAAGGAAGAACCAAGAAAGAGCTCCACACCTTCATGGGGGACCTCAGGAGTCAGGGGAACCACACTGGATGAAGTGCTGAGTTTGAGGCCAAGGAAACTCCTGATCATCCTTTACATTGGGGAGAAAGGTAGGAGGACCACATGGGCAGAGGTGTGCCAGGTAGAATATGGTGTGTGGGGGCTGAGCACTTGGTGAAGCTGGGGACAGTCGTGAGAGGCTAGAGTAAAAAGGCAGGCATAAGTCTGCATGGGGTGGGTTGACAAGTGACCACATATAAATAAATAAAATAAAGTCATTGTGTCCATGTACAACTAAAGAAAAATATTTTTTTAAATAATAAGATTTTTTTTAAAAAAAAAAAAAAGGAAAAAAGGAAGAGAGAGATGGAAGCAACCCATAGGTGAAGTAGCTTGGTTTGGGAGAACCTTGATGCATATTGGTTCAGTCGCATTTAAATTGCTGTACTTAAGGGCCTGAATTACCATGGTACCAATGGGAGAAAGAGGAAGGTTGGAAAAACATTTGAAGTCCCCAAAACTTGGATGCTGGGTGTACGGGAGCTGAAGGGAAGAGAGAAATAGCAAGGAAGTTTATGTTAAGAACCGAGGGAGCCAGGCATTGTGGCGCACGACTGTAATCCCAGCAACTTGGGAGGCTAAGACAGGAGGATCACAAGCAAAGCCAGCCTCAGCAACGACAAGAAGCTAAGCAACTCAGTGAGACTCTGTCTCTAAATAAAATTGAAAATAGGGGGCTGGGGATGTGGCTCAAGCGGTAGAGCGCTTGCGTGCAGCCGGGGTTCGATCCTCAGCACCACATACAAACAAAGATGTTGTGTCCGCCGAAAACTAAAAAATAAATATTAAAAATATTCTCTCTCTCTTTCTCTCTCTCTCTCTCTCTCTCTCTCTCTCTCCTCTCTCTATCTTTAAAAAAAAAAAAAGAAAATAGGGCTGGGGATGTGCCTTAGTGGTTGAGTGCCCCTGAGTTTAATTCCTAGTACCCCAAAAAAGAAAAGAAAAAAAAAAGGAATTGAGGAGAGCTGATGCGACAAGGCAAAATGTTTGGTAGGAGGTTGAAGGGGTGAGGGAACTTTCAAGTGGAAATCTTCTGGTGGCAATAACTGATAACTGGCTAAAACTGGAAGATTTAAGAATGGAGAAGGTCTAGGGGTAAGCACCACCAAAAAACCAACCAACCAACCATGAATGGAGAACTGGAGAGGGAGATGGTTGAAGCTGGGAGAATTAATATTCTCTCAGAGAATATCCTAGTGGACACTAGTAGTGGGAGAGACAGAAATTAGGAATGGTCAGCTGACATAAAGAGAGACTATTTACATTGTTTAAAAAAAGTTACTTTGGGAGGCAGAGTTAATGTTACAATTCTTTGCTCTCTCTTACTTGCAACGGGCAACTTTCTTTGGCAGGCCATAAATTAGGAAAAGCATCTGATGGTAATCATATATCCAATAAGAAAATATGATAGGAGCAGGATGGAATACAGCMGTTGGAAAAGTAGCTATGAAGCTATTGCATGGTGGTGCAGGCCTGTAATCCCAGCAGCTCAGTAGGCTGAGGCAGGAGGATTGCAAGTGCAAAGCCAGCTTCAGCAAAAGGTGAGGCCCTAAGCAAATCAGTGAGACTATGTTTCTAAATAAAATACAAATAGGGCTGGGGATGTGGCTTAGTGGTTTAATCCCCAGTCACCCCCCTAAAAAAAAAACATATTTACTACAAATTATACTATTGGTTATTAAATAAGAACATGCTTAGGAGCCTTACAAATGATGGCTATTGGGGGCAAGTCAAGTAAGAATTTTGTATTTTAGAATATTTAATGAATATACTTTTTGACAAATCTTTATTTGTAAAATTTCAAACTTTTGAAGAAATAGAGTAAACTAATGAATTTGACATTCATAATTTTGGGATATTTAAAATAGATGATTTATTTGGAATCAAAGATTAAGATTAATCACTTACTGGTCTCTCTATTGCAGTAGAGAAATGAGTCATAAAATGCTTACTTTGAGAGAGAAAGAGAGAGACAGACAGACACTGGCTTCTAAAATGAACCACAATTTCCATTTCAAGTTGCAACCTAATCTCACAAATTGCTCCAGAACAGTGAGGACAAGAAACACTCAGACCTCTAATAGACATGTGTGAACCTCACTGTATAAAGATAGAAGGAAGATGGAGGAATAACAGGTACCTAGGCAGCTTAGAGGAAGAGGCCAATGAAGAGCTAACCATTTTGGGTCCTTCCCTACCCTGACTCTAGACCTGGAAATTTTCTTAGAAGAGTCAGCAGCCCCATAATCCAAGAGAGTTCACACRGGGTTTTTTCCCCCCAAAATTCTTCCCATATTATTATTATTGTTTTTAGATACCTTTATAGTTATACATAGTAGTTGGGTTCTAGTCAGTCTTTTTAACACCTCTTTTTAAAACATGAATAGACAGCCCAGAATTACTTAATATTTAAGGAGAATTATCAAATAGGAAAAGAGACATGAGACAATGCAAAACTCACGTGAAAAATAAAAAAAATCTAAAGGTAGGACAAAGGTAAAGAGGTAAGAGGAGAAAATTAAGAAAGTTAGACACACTCTCAAGGAAGTCCAGCATCTAAGAGAGGAGAGGGCAGAAAAAGAATAGATTAGCTAACCTGACAAAGAATGAGATAACGTGTTTTATCATCACTTAATATGTAACCACAGTTGAGCCATAGTCAGTGCTGGGTTGTGAGATGATTTGTGTTTGCAGTTAAGCTAATGTTTATGCTTTAGTTTTTATTTCATTTATTTTATTTATTTGGATGGTAAAGATTTGGAATGAAGTTGTCCAGGGAAAAGGCAGGAAGCACTCAAGCCTTGGGCACATTCATTGTTCATTGAGCTTAAAAAGATGACAACATAGAGATGTCCTAGTTTTTTTTTTTTTTTTTTTTTTAATCAGAGTCTCTTTCCCTGTTTCCTCTTGCCTCTGATATTGCAAATATACCGCTTTTCAGAAATTTGCTTTATATTTTCCACAATATTTCCATAGTTCGTGAAATCTCCAAGGATGATGATGGAGAATAATATCCTGTCCCAGGCACTATGCTAGGTTTTTGCATGTATCATCTCTACCTCTCAAGGAAGGGGTAGTTGGCATTTCTGTTTTACAGATGTAGAAAACGGGGCTTAGCAGTCAAATGATGTTTATGGGATGATTCTGCTTGTAAGAGCATCAGCCAGTCAGGTCTGACTGATTTCCAGGCTCTGATTTATTTATTTTTTCTACAGCAGATCACTGTGCCTCTCTTGCTGTGATATAATAAAAGTATGTGGGTTTTTATTCAGACTTCAAGGTGTGCCAGAAGTCTTTTTAGAGATTTAGCGGCCTCACTTCCTTCTCTTAGAAGAGGTTTTTCTAGAAATGTTATTCATTCAGAAATGTGTGTATTAAAAATTGACTTTGTACCAGGTGTAGTATACTAATTACTGTTGAGATTTTCAAACTCTCAGCATTCTGAGTGGATGCCCAAACAACACTGAGCGGGGAGAAACCATCATGAGGGCTGAGTCTCAGCCCAAGCTGTGAAAGAGTCTGAAAGCATACTGTATTGACAGCTGGGAGTTAAAAAACACAAGTTGTATATTGACATATATGATGTTCTTGCTAAACATATGTAACTCACTAGTTTATCTTAAAATTTTCTTTATGGTATTTATCATTTCTCCAGTCTTTAGAAGAATATAAAGGAACAATTTACAGTGTGTTAATATTTAGTTTCCAGACTAGTTGTTCAGTGGCACTTCATGGATACATTTTTATTTCCTTTCTGAGACCCTCACCTTAATCAAGGAAGTTCTGGTTTGGTTCAAGTCCCAATTTCAAAATCTTGTGTGTTTGGTAACTTTTTTTCCCTTGAGGGTTTTCATTTCTTCCTTAGTCTTATTCAGCTGGATGCTAGTACATCATTTCAAGTTTTGGTGCAGACTTTTGAAAGTTATTTTTATATTTTAACAACAGTGTAGCTGTTCACATGCTTTAGCTTCTGTAATAATATTTATGTTTTTAAATATAAATCCACATTTTATATAATAAATAGCTTTAATTTAGAAACTATCTTTGTAGCCAGCTATATATGCAGGTGTGCTTTGCTTTATAAATAGCCCCAGTCCCTATGTATATGTAAATTGCATTAGAGGCTCCAAATATATGAAGAATTTAAATGTAAAGAAAACTCCTAAGGGCTTGAAAAATGAAGGTCTTTATTTTTCTAATCTTTTTTTTAATTTTAATTTTAATTTGTTCTTTTTAGTTATACATGACACTAGAGACTATTTTGACATTTATGCAAACTTGGAGTATATCTTATTCTAATTTGGATCCCAGTCTTTATTTTTCTAATTCTAAGTAAGGGAAGTTCTCTAAATACATGAAATGTAGAGGCAATAAAGGAAAAAATTGGTAGAATATTTCTGTTTGATCAAAAAGACCATGAACAAAGTGAAAAGTCAAATGACAGACTAGGGGAAGTACTTCATGAAACAGAAAGGGTGGATGATAAATGAACAACTCAGGAGAAATATGAGTAAAGTTCATGGAACAAGTACAGATGACTAATAAATGTGCCAAAGTAATTTGTCACAGTAATTAAAGAAATTCAAATATAAACAAGGTATAATTATCCACTGATTAGGTTTCAAATATTTCTCTATCGGTCAAAGTCCAGTCAAGAAAACATAAGTCTCAGGGGATTTAAATTATTATAGGTAATTGGTTACTTAAATGTTGAAAGAGCATAAAGGGAATGTTGAAGTCACCCACAAATTAGAAAATGTGTGAAGCAGTCTACCCCAGGACCAGAGAGACAAAAATGAAAAGGTAGACTATCATCTAGGATTTGGAGAAGCAGCCACTAGGGAGCTGCCAGGGCTCCTGAGGTGCCTGAGGGCACCCTGCCAGGATGGTGTAGGGAGCACCAGGAGGTCCTGGAACAGTAGCTAGTGTGTGCTGCTGTTGGAGGGAGGTCAAGAGCAGGTAGTCAAGAGTATCCACTCTCATCCTCCTCCCTACACCTTTCAGGCTTCTACTAGTACCTCCCATGGGCAGTTTAGTTTGCAAGGAAGCCTAGGAAGTACTTTGTGCAGACTCTAAGCCCTAATGTTACATAGCTCTGGGGCTGAAAACAGTAGGTCTAGCACAGGTACTAATGACCAGTTCTGGTGAGGAGGAATAAGTGAAAGGAATAAGTAAGTATAAATGGATTCAGCCTTTTTACAAGACAATAACTAATACCTATTAAAAAATTTAAGTGAATTCCCTGTGACCAGCAAGTCTGTGTCAAGAAATCTCATAGAAATACTAGTCCAAATACGGACAAAGATATGTTTTTTTTTAAAATGTTTTTATTAGTTGCTCAAAACATTACAATGATCTTGACATACATTTGATTCAAATGGGGTACGTAATCTTAATCTTATTTTTCCACGTGTACAGATTGCAGGATCACATTGGTTATACAGCCACGTTTATACATAGGGCCATACTAATGTCTATTGTATTGTGCTGCCCTTCCTATTCCCCCCTCCCCTCTTTCTACCCAATGTACTATGACACATTTCTCTCTCTTTTTTCTTCCCCCTCACACCATCTTATATGTAATTTTGCATAACAATGAGGGTCTCCTACCATCTTCCTGCAATTTACCTTCTCTCTCCCATTCCCACGCACCTCTCGTCCCTATTTAATAGTAATCTTCTCATGCTCTTCCTCCCTGCTCTGTTTTGAGTCCCCCCCCCCATATCAAAGAAGACATTCTGCATTTGTTTTTTAGGGATTGACTAGCTTCACTTAGCATAATCTGCTCTAACGCCATCCATTTCCCTGCAAATGCCATGATTTTGTTGTTTTTTAGTGCTGATGTTTTGATATTTTATCTAATTTCAAAAATTGGAGATATCCTGAGTGTCTATTGTTGGGGGATTGACGCACTGTATTATGTATATCCATTTAATGAAAAATGTGCCCATCAAAGAATTTTCCCTATGTAATTGGGTTATTTTGTATAGGCAAATATATTTTGTCAAATCCAAGAAAATCTCAAAGTGTTGAATCTAGCAAGATTTTTTAGCTGCTGTGAACAAGTTTAGAGGTAACAAGTACAATATTTCATGTTTATTTTTCCTTCCAACAGTTATGAATGCAGGAATGAGGAAATATTTCCTACAAGCCAATGATCAGCAAGATCTAGTAGAATGGGTAAATGTGTTGAACAAAGCTATAAAAATCACAGTAAGTATTTGGATTTTTTTTTTTAAACAATTTTGAGTGTCTGGAAGTAATCTTAACATTTTGAAAATGTACCTACCAAATGTCCCCAGCTTTCTGTCAGGTCACATACTTGAGCTTTGTTTAAAAGACAGATGTTCAGAATGTGAAATAGTTCTCTTGTACCTGGTGACCATCAGACATTTCATCAGCCCACAAATGCATTTCATCCATTATGTACCAATAAGGATATATATTATTGGAGATTTTAACCACTTCTTATGTTGCTGGGGGAAATACATGTAGCATGCAGAGTTCTATCTTGAGGGCATGTTATTTTTTTCTTCCAGAGTAGAAGAGGCTTTCTGCCGGGTATGTACCCAGGTGATGGTAATAGGCCTAAGCCCTGATAGGGCAGGAGTTGAAGATGGGAGCAAAACAAAGGGAAATGAAGGCTAAGAAATGAGGTACAATATAGGGATCCGGTGGGAAGACTGTGGCAGCTGGATGGTTCTGCCCAGGTGGCCTTAAGGAGTTGATCTTAGGCACTAGCTTTCTAACCTCTCCTGTGCCTTTTCCTTGAGTTCCAGAGCTTGGTACTCTTTGGACCTTCCTCTACTCCTACAACCTCTTTGCTTCTGACATGAGCTTTTTTTTTTCTGTTGAACATTAATATTTATTGATTATTTATACTATCACAGGCGTTGAACTGAAGGTTTTACCTAAAAACTGAGGCTTAGAAAGATTGAGTGACTTGTACAGGTTTCAGAACTGGTGAACTGTGGGACTGGGAGCCCAGGGATGGTCTATCAGGTTTTGGAGCTTAGCTAGCTCTGAAGTGCAGTGAACAAGAGCCTATCCTGATGTTTTGTTTTMCTACTGATGCTGATGAGCAAGAGCATAGGGTGTACTCCTGACTGAKCTTTGCTGCACCTTTATCTCCTTCTACACTAACAGAGAAACACATTGTAGGCTGCCTGGAAAGGCCTGGGAAGGAGTTCCTGTGGGGATTGTGTCAGCTGAAGGGTGGGGTTTTTTTGTTTTTTGGGTTTTTTTTTTTTTTTAAGTTGTAGTTGGACACAATACCTTTCTTTTATTAATTTATTTTATGTGGTGCTGAGGATCGAACCCAGTGCCTTACACATGCCAAGCAAGTGCTCTACCGCTGAGCCACAACCCCAGCCCCTGAAGGGTGTTTTAATTGTGTGGTTATTTACTGGCTCTAAACAACTTACTCTTAAAGAACAAAAGCCCAGAAAGTCAGCTTGTTAGTCACTTGTTAGTTTCCTTCTAAAATGAATGATCCCACATTTACATTGCAGCAGAAGGAGTTACTGTAGCTAAAGCTGTTTTCACAGGTGGATTGAATTTTTTGTCTTCAGAACAGCTGGTTACCACATGATGGGAAACGCCCACATATTGTATCTGATTTGTACATGAAGTTATTTTGGGCTTGCAGTTTTAGGAAAGGAATATTTTGAACTGATTCAAAAGTATGTATATATTTTTAAAATATTTATTTTTTAGTTGTAGGTGGTCACAATATCTTTATTTCATTTTTATGTGGTGCTGAGGTTTGAACCCAGTGCCTCACAGGTGCTAGGTGAGCACTCTACCACTGAGCCACAACCCCAGTCCCAGAAGTATATATTCTTAAAAAAGTTTTCATTGATCATTTTTACCTCAGTAGATACTCTCTACTTGAAAGATAAAGACAAGGGGCTGGGGTTGTGGCTCAGAGGTAGAGCGCTTGCCTAGCGTGCATGGGACACTGGATTCGTTCCTCAGCACCACATAAAATTAAATAAAGATATTGTGTCCACGTATAACTAAAAAAAAAAAAAAAAAAAAGACAATATATGGTGGTATCTTTCCTGAATTATTTTTTTTACAATTTGCAGTAATAAGCATCCATCTTTTTGGTGTTTTAAAATGTGGATTTTTAATTAGCTTTTGTGGTTTTGCAGCTTTATTTCATGTTGAAATTTTTAGTTTTTTATTTTTTTTATTTTTATTTTTTTTAGAGAAAGTGAGAGAGGGGAGAGAGAGAGAGAGAGAGAGAATTTTTTTTAATATTTATTTTTCAGTTCTCGGCGGACACAACATCTTCGTTGGTATGTGGTGCTGGGGATCGAACCCGGGCCGCACGCATGCCAGGCGAGCGCGCTACCGCTAGAGCCACATCTCCAGCCCTTAGTTTTTTATTGATGTTTTATAATTGTGCATAATATTCAGATTCGTTGTAACATTTGTACATGTACATAACATAATCTGATCAATTTCATTCCTTGGTACATCCCCTAAAATTTTTAATTTTTGAGGTAAATTTGTTAGTAATGGTTTTTATAATTCACATTTAGGAAATATAGAAATCCTTGACTCAGCTGGGTGAGGTGGCACACACCTATAATTCCAGCAGCTTGGGAGTCTGAGGCAAGAAGACTGAAAGTTCAGTCAGCCTCAGCAGTGGCAAGGTGCTAAGCAGCTGAGTGAGACCCTGTCTCTAAATAAAACACAAAACATGGCTGGGGATGTGGCTCAGTAGTTGAGCGTTCCTGAGTTAAGTTGCCAAGGCAAGTTTTGATCCTCCTGCCTGCCCTGGCCTCCCAAGTAGCTAAACCTGGGAGTACAGGTGTATGCCACCGTGCTCAGCTCTACTATAGGTTTAATTTAAAAGTCAATTTTAATCTAAAAATTAATCTTTTCAGTTGTGTTGACTTTTTTTTTTTTTTTTTTAAATGGCCACTGAGAGCAAGTTGAAGTGTGAACTGAGTATAAGACTTTGGTTCTAACAAAATGGTATATGTGCCCAAGAGTGTTAGCTGGGCCTTCTGTTTTAAAGTAATATTTTCAACTGGCATGTCAGGTGGAGAGCACTGCCTCTAAATAAAATACAAAATATGGCTGGGGAGGTCCAGGAATTTGTGTCTGAACCTTTCAGGTTTTAGTCTTCAAGTACTGTCTAATTAGTAAATTGAACATCAACCTTCCCTTTAACTTCTAAGAAATATATAGCGTTTCCATTTATTTCCGTCATAAATATCAAAGTCTGTTTTATTCATCTCTTTACTCTCTAATTATTTTTACCTTTTCTTTTTTTTTTAATATTTATTTTATTTTTTAGTTTTCAGAGGACACAACAACATCTTTGTTTGTATGTGGTGCTGAGGATCGAACCCGGGCCRCACACATGGCAGGCGAGCGCGTTACCGCTTGAGCCACATCCCCAGCCCCAAATTATTTTTACCTTTTTTTTCCTACTATTGGAATTTTTAACATTAGATTCATAAGGAAATACATGCTAAAATGCATCCAAATCTCACATGAAAAACAATCATGTTTAAAAAAAAAAAGAAGGAAAGCAGGGAAAGGCAATAGTCGGACCAGACCTGCTTAGTGTCTGACACTTGCTCTCACCCTCCCCTGTGAGACCACATTTCTGATTCTCATTAACAGTTGACTTATTTGGAAACTTGTGGCTTAGGGTTCTTGAAAATTTAGCTTAATGGCTGAATTTAGACTAACTTTTCGTTCAGAGTACCTAAATTTAAAAAAAATTAATTGAAAATGTATTTAATTTATTGTGTGTGTGTGTGWGAGAGAGAGAGGGATACATTGAGGATTGATTCTAGGGTTTTGTGTATTTAAGGCAAGTACAGTACTACTGGGCCACTTTTCAAAGCCTAAGTACCTATAATTTTTAAGGGAATTACATATATTTATGGATATTTGGCTTGTATTGTTCTTAAGATAATAAGGTAACTATAAGTTAGTTTTTGTTACAAAATGCAATTCTGAGTTAATTATTAGACTTGAACATTGGAGTTGTTATATTTAACTCTTGATTTTATTATAGGGACAAATTAGAAGCAGTTGGTTTAACAGCATAAGGAAGGATTTTGTGGGGAGGGTACCAGGGATTGAACTCAGGGGCACTCAACCACTGGGCCATATCCCCAGCCATATTTTGTATTTTATTTAGAGGCAAAGTCTCACTGAGTTGCCTCAGTGCCTTGCTTTTGCTGAGGCTGATTTTGAACTCAAACGATCCTCCTGCCTCAGCCTCCTGAGCTGCTGGTATTACAGGTGTGTGCCACTGTGCCCAGCTGAGGATTTTTAATATACTATAATTTTGGAAGAAAAATGGAAAACCTAATATAAATTTCAGTAGATTTTTGAGTTACACTAAAGATTTTTCTTAGGAAATTACCATATACAGCTGAACTCTCAACTTCTTGTAAAAAGGAGAAGCTACTACTTTTTTTATAAGTCTCCTCTTGACAGCACATCTCATCTAACGTAGTTAAAGAGGTCATTTTCTCTCTGGTTTCAAATTCTCTTTATGGTGTTTTTGGTTTTTAGTAAGATAAAAGGCGACATTTTCACTGTCAAAATCATTTAGATACATGATGCTGTTTATTAGAAAAATGTATGTTTCCTCAGCAGGTTGTTCTAGGGCATGATGTTCTATTTTTCGTTGGCAGCTAAAATTCTGTGTACTCCTGTGTTACCTTTTAAGCAGTCTAAAATGTATAGAACTTGAGGTATCCAGGATTCACTTTCTGATCTTCCTTTACTGTTTCTCTTTTTCTCCTTTGTTTCTGCCAGTGACTGGCATTGTAATATAAGTTCACATCAGAAGCTGAAGGATTGGGCCCAAAGACTGAGTGGAAGCATCACCAGGGAGGCAGGGTGGAAGGAAGAGGTGAAGGAGTTTTGAAGGTCACCTATGAGACAAATCATTTATATCCATAAACAGTTATGTCCAAGTTTGTGTGGTCTGCTACAGCTCAACATCCTCTCTCACAGGCATGGTCTGTGTTTGCTAATTATTTTGCAAAAAAGTTGCTTTTCTATAAACCTAATGAGAGTAGCATCATATAAAAAGAACACAGGTTTTGGAACAGTGTTTTCTTGAACTATGGTTTGTGAAACACATCCCTCAAAAACACTTAATGTTTTCTCTTACAATATATTTTTTTGGGGATTGCACTCTAGATTTTTTTAAAATCAGAATTTCTGGATATAAAGCCTGAGGATCTGAATTTTTCAATAATGTTCCTGGGTGATACCTTGAGCACATTTCAGTTTGTGAGAATCCACCCTACCTTGGGATCATACTACTGAATGATTAGGGACTTTGGATACAGCATGAATGGAGTCTCCTTTAGTTCTCTTGGGACTTTGTTAACAGATTAACTATGTGACCAGCAGATTAACTATGTGACATTTAATCTTAAATGTTTTTAKGCCACTAGTTTTGTGATTTTTCAGTAGTATTTATTATAATGTTTCTAAAAGACTGCAAGATCCCCAAATGTCCTTTACATCATGTTAAGTATCATAATTGATGTTGTAGGTTTTACTACATTTTATTCATAGCCTTAAAAATTTATCATTCAAATTCAGACCATAAGCTGGGCATGGTGGTGTATACATATAATCCCAGCAGTTTCCAGAGGGCTGAARCAGGAGGATTAAAGGTTGGGGATGTGGTGCCCCAGTGTTCAATTCCCAGAACAACAACAAAAAAAAGTTCATACCATGTTTAACAGTCTATAGACAAAAATATTGATTAGCTGAGTATTTTATTTGTGGTCCCTAGTTGGGCCACAAATAAAAGCTAAGTATATGTTAAATATGATTCCACATCAGTTAGGCATACATGTATGAGATTCTCCTGTTATCACAGTCATTATTTGTTTATACTATGAGTGATTTATCATTGATTTCASAATTGGAATCTCATCTTTAAATCCCTAGTAAGGGGCTGGGGATGTGGCTCAAGAGGTAGCACGCTCACCTGGAATGCGTTCGGCCTGGGTTCGATCCTCAGCACCACATACCAACAAAGATGTTGTGTCCGCCGAGAACTAAAAAATAAAATATTAAAATTCTCTCTCTCTCCCTCTAAAAAGAAAAGATCTCTCTCTCTCTCTCTCTCTCTCTCTCTCTCTCTCTCTCTCTCTCTCTCTCTCTCTCATAAAAATTCTCTTTTTAAAAAAAAATTAAAAAAATAAATCCCTAATAAGTGTTGTGTTATTTTGAATACCTTGGGTTTTTTTCTATCTTAGGAATTTCGTTCTTTTTTCCTGCTGATTTTAAATGTGTTTATTGAGTCAGTTTTTCAGCCTTTATTGAATACTTATGTGTTTAGAAATAGATTGTGTCTTGAAGCCATAAAGATGACTGTGCCACGATCTCTAACCCCCAGACCTTGCGGAATCCTAAGTAGAAATGGAGGAAAGGGAGGGTGGCGGCAAAGCTCTACAATCCATATAAAGTTCTCTATTGAGCAGGGTCCATGAGGGTTTGGAAGAGAGTTAAACAGACTTGGCTAGATCTAATACAACCAGGGTCTGAGCCTGTTCCCTAATGCCTCTGGGTCTCTGTTTCTTACTTCTCAAATAGAGATACTGCTTCTTTGCATAGGGTTGACAGAAGGAGTATGAAGAAATGGATCAAGCAGTACCTGTGCCAAGTTAGCACTCAGTATTTGATGGCTGTATTGTAAAGCATTACTAGATCAGAAAATTAATGTGACAACCTATGGGATTGGTACTCACGTGTGTGTGCCTATACACCCAGATGTATTTGTCAATTATATATAAATGAACAATTGGAAATTCTTTGATACAGAGTGTTTCATATAAAACACTGGTTACAAACTAACTTTGTTTCAGGTACCAAAGCAATCAGACTCACAGCCTAATTCAGATAATCCAAGTCGCCAGGGTGAATGTGGGAAGAAGCAAGTGTCTTACAGAACTGACATTGTTGGTGGTGTACCCATCATTACTCCAACTCAGGTAATAAATAAATCTTCTATTGTATGAGGGTCTTGTTATTCTATTGATTTTTATATTGTCATCAAAACCAAAACAGTGTGCATCTTTACTAAACAAATTCAATACTCAATACTGTAGGAAACTTTTATTTTTGTGTTTCTTAATTCCAAAGTATATGTTTATTACTAAGAAAAATGGAAATCACAGATTAAAATACATAAATTTCATGTTTTTTCTGAGCCTTCTGTGTACTCCTCCCCATAAATGGAGATGTGAATTATATATTAGATATTTTCCACTTTTATCATGAACATGTTCCAAATCATCTACAGTTACTTTGCTCCCCCTTCCCCCAGTATTGGTGATTGAACCCAGGGGTGCCCTACCACTGAGCTGTAACCTCAGTCCTTTATTTCAAAATTTTATTTTGAGACAAGGTCTTGTAAAGTTGCTGAGGCTGACCTTGAATTTGCTATCCTCTTACCTCAGCCTCCTGAGTCACTGGAATTATAAGCAACCCACCACTGTGCCCAGCTTTCAATATCATTTTTATTGACTCATAGTAGTTCTGCCATGAATTTACCATAATTTTACAAATACTCTATTGTGGACAAATGGAGTTCTTTTTCCCTTTTCTTTCTTCTTTTATATATAGTGCCATGATGAACATTCTTAAATTTTAGAGACATTATTGGTATTTTCTAAAAGATAAGTTCTTGGAAATAAAATTGCTGATTCAAAGAATTTGTAAAAATGTACAGTTTTTAAAACCTGTTTTTCCTAAAACCTGTACTAAGTGAACTAAAGAGAGTTCTTGAATACTGATTTTATTGTATCCCAAAAGAATTGACATGCTAGCCTCACTTGGGTACTAAGAAAAATATAAATTTGTAGGCATTTTTTAACGAAATTATTACTTTTTATGAGCTTATATTTCTTGTTTTGCTATTTAGGGAATGAATTTATAATGCAACTTTAATTACTAGTAATTGAGAAACCAGGAATTTTAAAGTAATTATTATTGCCAGTGTTCGTGCATTTCATTAGCTTCATATCTCTTGAACTTAAACTAACACTTATAAACCTTTTAAATCAAATTATATTGTACACCATATTTTTTAGGTCTTTGGCAGGGGACAGTGATTAGTGGAAAGAAAAATCATACCATTAATTAATTAGCTGTTCGATGTTTTTATACTTTATACTTGGCAAGGRATATTAATAAAACTCCTTGTTCTAGTAGAAACTTACAGTTTTTACCAAAGTTGGATAAAAAGATACAATAGGATTGCATCTGTATTTACTTTTTTCTAAAAGTAATGATTTTAACTTGTTAAACTTCTGGTTAATATACAGCTAGACTAAGCTGCTTTCACCTGTGTTGTGACTTGCACTGACAGTAGGGCCAAGACTCTCTTTAGTTTTATTTAGATATTGTAGCAGTTTGTATCTCTGGCTGTTTCAATTTGGGTTCTGAGGGGGGTGCCATTTTTTAAACACTCTATAATAAATAATTTTATTGCTTTAGTATTTACCAATAGTTTATAAAATAGTAAAGTAGTGTTTACTCATTATAAAGCATTTAGGTAATATAGTATCAGGAAAATGTTAAATCTCATTTGCATGATGAATTTATTCAATAAGTTTTATGAAAGCAGTGAGTTAAGTATGTAAGTAGTATTGTCCACCTGTCTAAATGTAGAACAGGTTGAAAAGCCTTAAGGTACATATACAATTTAGATGTAGGTTTTTCTTGAATTTTAGGAGTTTTTGAATATACCTTTGGCTTATTTGTGGGATTTTAAATTGTTAGATGTTGAAACAAACAAGAAGCCAGTGCTCTGAGAAACATGAAATCCTGGTATAGTTAGAGGTTAAAAACACTGGGCTTACATATAAAACTATACTTTTAGAAAAAGAATATTGTAGAAAATCTTCAAGATCTAGGACTAAATAGAATTTTTAGACTTGACATCAAAAGTATAATCTGCAAAAGGAAAAAATTGATAAATTGAACCTCATCAAAATTAAAAATATTTGCCCTGTGAGAGACCTTGTTCAGAGGATGGAAGGAAAAGCTACAGACTGGGAGGAAACATTTGTAAACCACATAGCCAGTAAAGAGCTTGTATCTAGAACATGTGAAGAACTCTCAGCAATTAAACCCAACAACAACAAAATCCAATTAGAAAGTAGACAAAATTCATGACAGACATTTCACCAAAAGATGAAATCACATATGATAAGCACTTGAAGATGTTCATCAGTAGTCAGTAGGGAAATAGTAAGACCACAATATCATACCTATCAGAGTAACTGAAATAAACTGGTGACAAGACAAATGCTAACAAGGATGAAGGGAAAAAAAACAGTCTTTCATCCACTTTTGGTGGGAAYGTAAAATAGTTCAGACATCCTCAAAAAAGAGTTTAGCAGATTTTGCTGTTTTATTACTATACAAATAAATTAACAGTTGCTCTCCAACCCAGCAYTTGTACTCTGTATTAGTCAGCTTTTTGTCACTGTGACAGAAAACCTAGGAAAAACAACTTTAAGAAGGAAAGATTTAATTTGGCTCACAGTTTCCGAAATTTTAGTCTATGGTCAGCCGACTCTGTTGCTGTGGGCCTGCAGTGAGGCAGAGCATCATGGCAGAGAGGGTATGGTGGGGCAGAGCTGCGTACCTCATGGGAGTTGGGTAGCAGAGAGAGCAAAGAAGGAACCTAGGACAARATATACCTTTCCAGGAAGTGCCCTTAGTGGCCCACTTCCTCCAGCTAGGCCCCACCTCCTGCAATTTCTRCCGCCTCCCAGTAATGCCATCAGATTATGAATCTTTCCATGGCTTCATCCACTGAAGTGGTTAGAACCCTCATCATCCAATCACCTTCCTGAAGGTCCTGCCTCTGAATACTGCTGTGTTGGGGACCAAGCCTTCAACACACGAGCCTTTGGGGTGGAAAGTATTGCAGATTCAAACTACARCATAATCCTAACCATTTATCCTAAAGATATGGATTATTATGTTCAGATAAAAAGCTTTACATAAATGTTTATAGTAGCTTTATTCCTATTCTCCTAATAGCTAGGAGAACATGCTGTTTAATGGGTAAATGGTTAAAAGTTAAAAAACTGGTATAGTACATTTATACTATAGAATGCAGCAGCAAAAAGAGTTGAATTACTGATACAAGGAATGACCTGGATGAATCTCCAGAGAATTATGCTGAGTGGAAAAAAAAATCAATTTAAAAGAATACCTTCTGCCTGATTTCACTTACATTCTCAAAGTGTCAGATTACAGACAAAGAGAACAGATAAATGAYGGAAGGATTGGGGTAGGATCTCTAAAGGGGTAAAGCCTTCTTTATCTTGATTGTGATGTGGTTACACAGATCTACACATGTGATCAAATTGAGTAGAACTATATGTGCACACAGACAAATGASTACCTATGGAACTGGTAACCTCTGAATAAGGTTTATAGGTGTACCAGTGTCCTGGGTTTTAGTTATGTAATCTATAGTTATACACTTTTCTTATTGGGGGAATCTGGTTGTAGGGTCAGAGGATGTCTTGTACATTTTTGGTGAGGGGGATAAACTTCCTATCAAGAATTTGTATAAAAAAAAAAGAATTTGTATAGTTATTTCAAAATAAGACTTATAGGGCTGGGTTGTAGCTCAGTGGTAGAGTGTTTGCCTAGCATGTGTGAGGTGTTGCCTAGCACCACATATAAATAAATGAATGAAATAAAGGTCTATCAACAAGTTAAAAAAAAAAAATATATATATATATATGTATGTATGTATGTATGTATGGAAGTTACCTGCCCCCCATAAAAGCATTAGTAAGACTTTGTAGACCCACAAAAGTGAAAATTTGTGTTTTAATCAATAAAAGGAAAATTGATTATGATCAGGTATCCTGGGTTAATTAGAAAATTCCTCTTCAAAATCTGTGTTCCTACTGCATTACGGTAGATACGAAGATTTTCTACTAGGATAACAATATGAAATGAAAGTATGCTTTGAAGTCAAACATGCAAGAAAATTTGTTTTTTTTGTTCCATTTTAGAAAGAAGAAGTAAATGAATGTGGCGAGAGTGTTGACAGAAATAATTTGAAACGATCACAAAGCCATCTTCCTTGCTTTACTCCAAAACCACCTCCTGATAGTGCCGTTATCAAAGCTGGATATTGTGTAAAACAAGGAGCAGTGGTGAGTAACTTAATAAAATGTGTGAGATTATGAAAATGTGAATGTACTAGAAAACTTGCAAGTTAACATTCAGAATGTTTGCTTTATTTTATGAAARTAGAGACTAGCATACTGGGAAGGGCATTAGGACCTAGAGCAGGGGTTGTTCTATGTTTATAATGTAATGGTAGTATTTCCTTCRTCTAAGGGTTGTTGGGTAAATTAAGGCCTATTACCATTAACCTTCAGTTTAAATGAGCCTTTTTAACAGTTTAAATTTATTTTGCAAAGTTTTTCTGTTGATTCTCTCTATCCTCTAGAATGGGTGAGGGAAAGAGCTCTAGTGCAAAGTGGCAGCCAATAGAAAGTAGAARGTGTAAACTTACCAGTATTTCTAAGGATTAAAAATTCTTTTCTTTAATTTACTTTTTCTGTGTGGCTAAATTTTCAGAATTGCATGAGAAAATAAACTTTACAATTTGAAAATAGAAGAGGGGGAAAAAACAAACCAGCAACTCTCTTGGCAGTTCTGTTTGATTGCTCATCCCTTTCTGGCAACTCTGATTCCCCTAGGTCAGCCCAGGGAAAGTTCTTCCAGCTCTGTTTGACTTCCTCTAGGTGCAGGGAAATGAAGACGATGATTGAAGGTCTCTCCCTGTAGAGTGTCTAGGGGTAGAATCAGAATCGTCACCAGACCGTGATGCTCTGTTGTGTGTTAATGAGGGATTCCTTTTTAATTTACTCCCAAGTCCAAAATTTCATTTAGAGACATTTCAATATACCCATTAATAAAAATAATTGTAAAAATATTTAAATATATATAAATATGTGTTTGTCATTAACTATTTCATGAATTAAGTATTTATTGCTTTGCTACTACATGTAAAATACTTATAGTTTCTTTGTTTTATAGATAGAGGAGAAACCCAGTGGTTTAATAACATTTCCTGTGCTTGCTGTTTACTTTGTGGGGATGACGAGGAAATAAAAGTGCCTCTTTTAGAGCATTAAAAATATAAAATATCATAAAATCATTAATAAAAGCTGAAATCTAGACACCAAAAGTTGAACCAGAAGTTCAAGTCCTGGGTAGCAAAAGAGAGCCAGTGTTTCATATATTGCCTCACTGGGGGAAGGTAGTGAGGTGTTTTAATCCTTAGCATTTCTCATTGGGAGTTTATAGTGGAATGAGTAAGTAGTGATTAACATTTGACATTCTTAGAAACAAATCTTATATCTGTGTTTATTTCTGGTAGATGAAAAACTGGAAGAGAAGATATTTTCAATTGGATGAAAACACAATAGGCTACTTTAAATCTGAACTGGTATGTTGCTGCATCATAAATGTTGCATCTAAAAATGTTTGAGAAGTGTTACAGTGTGGTGGTGTATGGTTTTGTGCATTCTCTATTTTTAGAATAAACTGCTTCTAGTTTTGAGAAGCACCTAAAGTTCAGTTTACTCTACTGTGAAACTGTTGGTTAATGGTATTTTTCTTTCTTTTTTCTTTTTTAGTTGTCAGTGGACCTTTTTAAAAAATTATTATTATTTATATGCGTTGCTGAGGATTGAACCCAGGGCCTCACACATACCAGGCAAGCGCTCTACCACTGAGCCACAACTCCAGACCCCCCTTTTTATTAAATATTAATTTTTTAGTTGTACATGGACACAACACCTTTATCTATCTATCTCTCTATCTATCTATTTATTTTATGTGGTGCTGAGGATCAAACCCAGGGCCTGGGGTGAGTGGTCTACCACTAAGCCACAACCCYAGCCCAGTGGTATATTTCTTAAATGCATCTTAAATGAAAATGTCATATCATCAAAGAGATTTTCCACCGTGAAAGATCTAAACTTATTTGTCTACAGATGTCCTCATGAAGGGTTGTCCCTTCAGGCTAACAACACCTTGTATTTCTGCCTTCTCCTGAAATTTTCTTTATCTTTTCAGATCAACTCCTAAGTTGTTTTATGTAAGGTGTTTCTCTCCTATCTGAAGGTAGAATCAGAAATTGAGATTCCCTTTCTCACATGTTTGAATGATATCCTTATTTAAAATGTTGTCAGCTGACCTGAATCCTGCAATTGATGGTTGCATAAATTAATGCAATTCTGTACCTCTTCTTGTTGAGGGGAACCAGGCTCTTTATTTGAATGAAGGCACCAGAAAAGCACTATTCCTGTAGAACCTTCTGCACAGCTGGGAGTGTTTGATATCTGTGTTGTCCATACCAGTGGCTGCCTGTGGCTTTTGTGTGCTAGAAATGTGCCTACTGAGCTGAGGAATTGACTTCATTTTACTTTAAAATGAAAACTGAATTTATTTCATTTTCATTAATTAAAATTGACGTAGTTACACAAAACTAGTGACTACTATATATGGCAGTGGTGCTCTAGAAAATAGGAAGAGACTATTTTAAGTTTCATCTCAGCTATCAGCTCTTCTAGGAAGCTTTTGTGGCCGTAGAAAAGAGGGAGTAGTCAGCATAGTTTGGTGTGGGCAGTCAGCAATCACACAGGATGAGTTTGTTCTCTTTCAGGGATAGCCCAGCATGGAGTAGGGAGAGGAAAGTGTCATCCTCATGGGGAAGAAGATGGTGGCAGAGATGGGAAAATGGTTACAAACATAAAATGATAAAATGATAAAATGGGGAAATATATTACAGATAAAGGAAGCCAAGTTTCTGTCAAACCAAGGAAGTACAAATAAGAAAAATGAGAAAATTTTGGTCTTAGATTGAAATTGGATAAATCTGGCATAATTTAGCACACTGAGATAGATGTAGATTTAAATGTGTGTGTGTGTGTGTGTAGCCAAGTTTCTGTCAAACCAAGGAAGTACAAATAAGAAAAATGAGAAAATTTTGGTCTTAGATTGAAATTGGATAAATCTGGCATAATTTAGCACACTGAGATAGATGTAGATTTAAATGTGTGTGTGTGTGTGTGTGTGTGTGTGAGAGAGAGAGAGAGAGAGAGAGAGAGAGAGAGAGAGAATGTGAATAATGCATTCCCTAGCTCTGTGTCCCAAGAAAACTACCATTTCAGAAATGGTTTCCAAAGAGAAATAGCAGATTATAGAGTGGGATAAGAGAAATAAATGGAAGGTGAGCATGGAATGTCTTGTATCAGAAAGCAAGTACTCAGGGGCTGGGACTGTAGCTCAGGGTTGGCAGAGCATTGTTTAGCAAGTGTGAGGCCCTGTGCTCAATCCTTAGCACCACATAAAAATAAACAAAATAAAGGCATGCTGTCCATTTACAACTAAAAAGGAAGTACTTGTAGAATGATAAAGACAGGTAAAAAGACTCCAAAGCCACTCCCCCCCCTCTGTTTAAAGAAAGAAAGAAACCAAAAACCAGAGCATTCTACCACAGAGCCATATCCCCAGTCCTTTTTAATATACATTCCTGGGATTACTTGTGTGCACCTCAGTGCTCATCCCACAAGCCACTTTGAAAACATTCCCTCTCACCAAATTTGGGACAATGAGAGCATCAAAATGAATAATGAGGATAACAGATTATAGCTCACTGGATAAAGTAGGAATCCATACATATATAAATAAATGGTTGAATGGTAAATGATTTGTATGTATAGTGAGGAATGTGATATTTACATTTTCAGAATACTTATTTATGAGAAAAGAGCAAATTTATGGTGAAAAAACCTGGCAGAAAACTCTTTAATCAGACAGGTAAATGATTCAAATGAACTTTTTAAATAAGAAAATTAAAATCACTTATCATCTGACAGGATGGTATGAGAAGGACCCAGCTTACTTCTGTGATATTCTTGCCAAATATGCATAATATGCATAATCTGAATCTAATCATGAGGAAACACCAGACACACCCAAATGAAGAACATTCTACAGAATAACTCTGTAGTTTTACGAGTGCCAAGATTATAAAAGTCAAGGAAAGAAGGAGGAACTGTTCGTACTAAGGGAAGGAAAAGTGAGATGGCGCAGATGTAGTCTGATTCTGAATAGAGTGTGTTTGCTCTAATAAAAGACATTTGAGGCTGGGTGTGATTACACACATCTGTAACCCAGTGGCGTAGGAGGCTGAGGCAGGAGGCTGGAGAGTTCAAAGCCAGCCTCAGCAAAAGCAAGGTACTAAACAACCCAGTAAGATCCTGTTTTTAAATAAAATACAAAATAGGGTTGAGGAGGTGGCTCAATGGTCCAGTGTCCTTGAGTTCAATCCCTGGGGGGGGGGGGGGGGGGGGGGGGGGGGGGGGGCGGAGATTTGGGGACAGTGTCCTTAGTGGCTATAATGTGATTATGTAAAAAGATGTCTTTATAGAAAATAAGCACCAAAGTATTCAGAGGTAGTGTGAGAGCCAGGTCAGCAGCTAACTCTGAAATGACTTAGGAAAAACTTTTTGTGTATGTGTGCTGGCTTTTCAACTTTTGTGTAAATTCATGATTGCTTCAATGTTTAAACAGAGACAGCTGGGCACGGTGGCACATACCTATAATCCTAGCAGCTCTCGGGAGGCTGAGGCAGGAGTATTGCAAGTTCAAAGCCAGCCTCAGCAATGGCAAGGCACTAATCAACTCAGTGAGACCCTGTCTCTAAATAAAATACAAAAAATGGGCTGGGGATGTGACTTAGTGTTTGAGTGCCCCTAAGTTCAATCCCCAGTACCCMAAAGAAACAAACAAAAAAACCAAAACAAAATAAAAGGACTGGGATATTGCTCAGGGGTTATGTGCCTAGGGGTTCAGTCCCAGATACAAAAAAGAAAAAATAACTGAAGTATTTAGAAAAGTGTATCATATCTATAACTTCAAACATTTCAGGAAAGTRTACTCAACATATGTATTCATACACACATGCACAGTGTTGAAGCAAGTGGAAAATATTAATATCTTAGAAATGAGGTGTAAGGTATGTAGAAATTCTTGGTACTATTTTTGTAAGTCTCCTGTAGTCTCAAATTATTTCAAAATAAAACTTTTGTAAAACCTTGAAAATTTGATTTCTTGGTGCTACATAAAATAATATTATGTCTTAATCTCATGGTAGCATGTTCAGTGAAATATGGATATAGTATTTTAATGGAATGTATAGTATCAATATTATCCTACTAGAAACCAGTTATCTTACATTTATATTTTTATATTTAGTTTTAGTAGCATGCCTAATCCTTAGTTTTCTCAGGTGAATAGTAGCATGTGTATATAGGATTGTGGAAAGTGTGAGGTAACACATATAAAAGTCTGGTAGATGCCCTGGCACTCCAAGAAATGGTGCATATTAAAATAATGTATTTATATAAAAGTGACATATGTAAAATGATAGATTTACATCAAACTGAATGTTCACTGCTCAGATGCCTTATATGTCAAAGTGACATTCCAAAAGAGGAGGTAGCATGCTTCATTTACTATACACAGTGAGCCTTCCAAGACCAACTCTGCTGGTTCATGGCTTTTAATAAGTGATACTCATTAAGCCTGGAAGCTTTGTTTCAAACAACACACATAGAAGGGTAGAGAATTTGAGCTGTTCGGATGCTGGGTGGTTTAAAAAGGTATAGTTATATCTTAGATGGGCTTAAAGAAGCATAATTTTCACATAGATCTCCACATGAAAATAAACAAATCTCCAAATAAGATAACTAAGCTTCGAAGGGATGTTAAAGATAAATGTCATACACCTGTTGTTTGCTTTTTTGCCAGGAAAAGGAACCTCTCCGAGTAATACCACTTAAAGAGGTTCATAAAGTTCAAGAGTGTAAGCAAAGGTAAGGAAGTGCTCAGACTTGACACTGGCACAGCTTATTAAGACAGAGGACTGCCTTGGCTTCATTGACGTGCTTGCAGGTTATGTTTGTCTCTATTCTAGCAGGTTCTTTTTTTTTTTCCCCTCAGAGGGAGGAGGATTGGAATTGAACCSAGGGCTCCGTACTACATAGTTATATCGCAGCCCTTTTATTTTCTATTTTCGATGGTCTCTTTCTACCCAAGTTGCCTTGAATTTTCAGTCCTCCTTCCTCACCTACTCAAGTGGAGATAGGGTCTCACTAAATTGCTTAGTACCTTGCCATTTCTTTCTTTAAAAAATATGTTTTAACTTGTTGATGGGCCTTTATTTATTCAGTTATTTATATGTGGAGCTGAGAATTGAACCCAGTGGCTCACACATGCTAGGCAAGCGCTCTGCCACTGAGTCACAACCCCAGCCCATGCCTTACCATTTCTAAGGCTGGCTGTGAATGCGAGTTCCTCCTGCCTCAGCTTCCCGCATTGGGATTACAAGCTTGTGCTACTCCACCTGGCTTATCTTTAACTCTTTATAATTGGAATTTGCTAAAGTTTTCAAAATTCTCCAGCGTATTGGAGTGGTCCATGCCTGTAATCCCAGTGGCTCTAATCTCAGCAGTTTGGAAGGCTGAGGCCTGAAAATCACAAGTTCAAAGCCACCCTCAGCAAAGATAAGGTGCTTAGCAACTCAGTGAGACCCTGTTTCTAAATAAAATACAAAATAGGGCTGGGGATGTGGCTTAGTGGTCAAGTATCCCCAAGTTCAATCAATGGTCCCCTCCCCCACAAAAAAATCTCAAAAGTATTGAAATATTTTGTTTATTTAAAAACTGAAAGTTCAGGAATAGCTTATTAATGAGAAAGGAAAAAATTAATATGAGCAACTTATAATTATGCCATCAGATTTGACAAATTAGTATATTAAATTCATTTCTTCATGTATGACTAAAAAAATAAAAATAATAAAAATAATTCATTTCTTCATAGTTAATCAGTTTTACCTGTGATATATAATTGTTGACACATACTTGGCACAGATTATAAACAGGTAAAAAAAAAAAAACAAAAAACTGCCCAACAACTGCTATTTAAATACAACTTTTTTTTTTTTTTTTGGTAACAGTGATATAATGATGAGGGACAACCTGTTTGAAATTGTAACAACGTCTCGAACTTTCTACGTACAGGTAAGGTACTTATTTGAAAATCATAAATTATTTATTTATTTATATACTTATTTATTTATATGTGGTGCTGAGAATTGAACCCAGTGGCTTCCATGCTAGGCAAGCACTATACTTCTAGCCCTAGAAGGTGTTTTTTTTTTGTTTTGTTTTGTTTTGTTTTGTACCAGGGATTGAACCCAGGAGTGCTTAACCACTGAGCCATAAAGAGAGAGAGAGAGAGAAAATTTTTTTTAATATTTATTTTTTAGTTTTTTGGCGGACACATCTTTGTATGTGGTGCTGAGGATCGAACCTGGGCCGCACGCATGCCAGGTGATCAAGCTACCCGCTTGAGCTACATCCCCAGCCCCATAGAAAGGTTTTTAATAGAATATTTGTTAGCCAGGTGTGGTGGTACTATGTCTATAATCCCAGTAACTAAGTATTTTTCAGGTATCTCAAAGTATTGAAATTATAGTCGTGCGCCACGGTTGCCAACTTAAATAAGTTAAGTACTTATTAAGGAATATGGCATTTTGGAATATGACTGCCAATACTTCTAAATAGTACTACTAAAAATTATTTCTAGAAAAATAATAATTATTTCTAGAAAAATAATATGTAAAATGATGTCAAAATTTTTTTAAATGACAGCTGTGTACATATTGAAAGAACAAAATAAGAAGGGCTTTCTTTGACTTCTTCTTTTTATTATTTTATTTCCAGAAGTATTCATTATGGACCCTTTTTGATGTGTCTGATCTCAAAATATTAGTTCTCAACTAATATTTTATTTATTTAAACCAGCAAAACCTGGTTTAAAAAAGTATTTCTGCCAGGCACAGTGGTGCATGCTTGTAATCCCAGTGGCTCGTGAGGCTGAGGCAGGAGGATTGAGAGTTCAAAACCAGCCTTAGCAACTCAGCAAGATCCTGACTCTAATAAAGTATTAAAAAGGGCTGGGGATGTGGCTTCTAGTTAAGTGTCCATGGATTGAACCTCCAGTACCCCCCCACCTAAAAAGTGTTTCCAAGGGCTCCCGTTATAGCTCATCTCAGTGGTAGAGTCCTTGCCTAGCATGTGTGAGGCACTGGGTTTGATCCTCAGCACACATAAAAATAAATAAATAAAATAAAAGTATTGTGTTCACCTATAACATACATATATCATATATATATATTTTTTGTTTGTTTGTTTGTTTGTTTCCAAATTTTTGGGAAACCATTGTCTTAGATAATGATTTTGAATTGGTGGCAGTACAAGTTACCAAAATAAATATGTTGGATTTATGGAAGTAGAAGGTACATATTGAGGAAAAATTAACCGAATCCTTTATTTCCTTTAGGCTGATAGCCCTGAAGAGATGCACAGTTGGATTAAAGCAGTCTCTGGCGCCATTGTAGCACAGCGGGGACCTGGCAGATCAGCATCTTCTGTAGGTTTCCTGCTCTCTGGGGTGACAGTCCCAACCCAGTCGAATTGTTTTCCTTCTTCTCCCCCTAATCCCTTTGGTTTCTTTTCTTTTTTTTTTTTTTAGATTTATTTGCATGTTAACTTTTAGACCAATTAGACTTGCGAAGAATAATGCATTTCTAATTTAATGCTTCCTTGTAGTGTTACGTATACTTAACTTTCTGTGCATTGTATTGTGTTAAATGCACAAGCAGGGCAATGAAAGAATAGACATTTCCTTGCTTTGTTTTAGCAATTCTYAACTTGTCATTAGGTCTAGATTTGGTATAATTTGAAAGACTCTTAGTGTGGAACGTGGCCTAATCATGAAAGGCACCTTTAATTCCAGCATTACACAGTTTTGTGAATGTCAATTTATTCTTTTCTAATATCAGTTATCATTTTGTTTCGTTTTTGGTTTTTTGGTTTTGGGGTTAATTTTTTGGCTTAGCATGCCATAAGACTCCTGACCAAGCTGGAACCTTAAATATAGTTTAGTTCTCCCATTCAGTATTTTCTATTTCGTGTTTATTTATTTTGTAGCAGGTTAATATAAAAGCCTGCTTCAAGCTGCGTGCAATGGTGCATGCCTGTAACCTCATTGGCTTGGGAGGCTGAGACAGGAGGATCATGAGTTCAAAGCCAGCCTCAGCAATGGCAAGGTGCTAAACAACTCAGTGAGACCATCTCTCTAATAAAATACAAAATAGAGCTGGAATTGTGGCTCAGTGGTCGATTGCCCCTGAGTTCAATCCCTGGTACCCCAAAAATAAATAAATAAAAGCCTGCTTCAGAARGCTACCGTAATTATCTTTGTGGTAGCATGATAATAAAATTGAAATAACTAAACATTCTACTCAGAAGTAGTAATGTCTTTTATATTATCTTGTTCAAGTATATAATAAGACTTGTATTTTCCTTTGGAATACTTTGGCCACCGATCTCTCATCTGAAAATACAAATTCTACTGAGAAATAAAAAATGTAGTGTCTTAAAGTGTTGCATTGTAAAGGGTAGAATGTAGTCTAGTATGTAATATATAGCTTTTATTATCTAGATTCATTATATGTAATCTGTACTTTTAATACTTTTCCTGGAAGTGTTGTCTTTTAATGTCCTGGTAGTGATAATTACAGATCAGCAAATTCTAGTTATATCCTTTTTGGAATGTCTGAGAAGTCACTTTTGTGGGTGTTAATTTTGTAACTACCTTCATTTTATGTGACCTTTTCAGTAGTCAACTCTGAGATTCTCTGCAAAAACAATGTCTGTTGGGAAGAGGAGAAGCTGGAAAAGGGTGCTTGTGTTTTGTGCTTTGTGGTGGGGGCAGGTGAACTATCTAGCTGTCACTGTCAGCACAACTTTCTCTTTTCCTCCCTCTCCCATGTATAGGTTAACTCTAATCTTAGCTTTGCACTGTGTTCCAGATGCGGCAGGCCAGAAGGCTGTCGAACCCTTGTATACAGAGGTATACATCAAGAACTGGTGAATGCAGCACGTATGTGGGCTCTCACGCAAACGTGCCTTCTTAGTAGAGGGCCTGACTCACTACTTAACAGCTGATCCTAGAAAGTTGAGTTCACTAAACTGCCTTTTGCAGTTGTCATGACCGACTTTGTCAACACTAACACAAACTTTCACTGCAGTCATCAGGTTGAATGTGTATTTTTTAAAAATGTTTATTTTTTAGTTATAGGTGGACATAATATCTTATTTTCATGTGGTACTGAGGATCCAACCCAGTGCCTCATGCATTCTGGGCAAGCGCTCTACCTCTGAGCCACAACCCCAGCCCTGAATGTGTAATTTATTAAAAAGATTTTTAAAATACAACTTAAATAATGTAAAGAGATATTAAGCTAGGTTCTAAAAATTCACTTACTGAATTGCTACAAGAATTTCTATATTTTATGTTTTTTGAGATATTTTATACTGCAACACTTGAAATGTACCTTTGTTCCAATAATATATACAAGCCTTGCATGCATATACATTGAATAAACTAATTTTCATGGCATTTTAAATGTAGTGAAATTCAGCCATATAATAGAACTCTGTTGTATTTTTGTAATTTGTAGTACTTTGTTTTCAAAGCCACTGGTATAAATGAACAGAATATACTAAGAAGTATATGGCACAATGCACTTAGAATGGTCAAGTTTAAAGGTATATTCTGATTTGATCTAGTTAGAAGCATTTTAAAATTCACAATTGATATTACTTCACCAGTTTAAAAATGACTATATGCTCTTTCTTACCTTTAAAATCTTAAACCATATGAATATATAACATTCAAAACTAAATACATGAAATTAGATAAAAAGACCGTGTTCTTATTGGTTGCAATGAAATTTAGGGAAACAAACTAAATTTTATCAGATTGTTAAGATAGAATATTTGAAAAATCTTGATTCCTGATTATCAGAGAAATTTACGACTTTGTATTTTTATCTTTTAAAATACACGGGATAATTCTCATTGTCAACTGAGAAYATACTCTTAAATAAAAGGTAAAGCTGGTAGGTCCTCTAAATACAGTTCAGTTGCAGTTGGAACACTATCCTGGTTTAGGCTGGCTAAGTCTTCAAAGTGTCATTAGCTACCAAATTCAGCTTTGGTGACAGAACTAGATTCTTAGTGGAAATGGTTGTTGGCTGTCATTGCTTTAAACTCACCTTTAAAAATGCATTTGCTTTGGGAAAGAACTTGCGCATTTATCCTGCATGGCTTATGCTTCTGCTGCGTGTGCGTGTATGTGTGTTTTTCAGAGAATCAAGTCTTACGCTGAATTACTAACCTTATTGTCAATGATTGACGGTGTCTGACCATTACTCCTCTTTCTAGGAGCATTCCCACAGTCCTTCAGAGTCCAAACACACTGTCCGTCCTGCCGGTGCCGCAGCAGCAGCCACCTCACATTCCACAGCCTCTCGCAGCAACTCTCTGGTCTCAAGCTTTACCATGGAGAAGCGAGGATTTTACGAATCTCTTGCCAAGGTCAGGCCAGGGAACTTCAAGGTCCAGACTGTCTCTACAAGAGAACCAGCTTCCAAAGTGACTGAACAAGCTCTGCTAAAACCTCAAAGTAAAAATGGCCCTCAGGAAAAAGATGGTGACCCCGTGGACTTGGATGATGCAAGCCTTCCAGTCAGCGATGTGTAAGATGGAAGCATGCAGGGCCTACCACCATCCATCCTCAGTGTCCTTCATGAGGCTTCTAGCCAAAGATGATAAAGGGGGAAGT